GGCGGCTGCTGCGGCGGGGCCTCAGAGGCGCGTTTGTGCTGCAGCTGCTGCAGCAGCAGCTGCAGCAGGAGATGCGCAGCAAGCGCGTCGACAGCGCAGCGCAGCAGGTCGCGGACGCAGCAGCAGCAACTGCAGCAGCAGTGGAGAAGCCCGAAGAGCTGCAGCGGCTCGCAGCAGCAGCAGCTGCTGCTGCTGCTGCGCCTGCAGCAGCAGAGGCAAGAGATGCTGTGCCCGCGCTGCCGCAGCTGCTGCGAGGCCTCAAGAAGCTGCTGCACTTCTGCTTCGTGTCGCTGCGGAAGCTGGTTTTTGCTGAAGCAGCTGGGGGGCCCCCCGAGGGCCCCCGCAGCAGCTTAGAGGCCCCTCAGGGGGGCCCCCCAAGGGGGCCCCCGGGGGCCCCCCCAGAGGGGCCCACTGAAGAAGACAGAGCTGCGCAGGCCTGCGCAACATTTGTGGAAACCCTGTTCCTGCTGCTGCTGCAGACGGAGGAGCTGCTGCAGCCGCTGCTGCTGCTGCAGCAAAGCAGCAAATTCCTGGATATCATTCCTGCCGTGGTCGCCCTGTGGCTAGATCCTCCCCCAGCAACAGCAGCAGCAGCAGCAGCTGCAGCAGCAGCAAGCGCGCCAGAGTCGAGGCAGGGCAGTGCTGCGAACAGCCAGACGTCCCTGCTGCGGCCTGTCCCGCCGTCGGGGCAGCAGCAGCAGCAGCAGCAGCAGCAGCAGCAGTCATTGTATGAAATATATATGAAGGCGAGCCCGGAGACTGCCGAGTGTCTGCTGCTTGTTGCGCAGCGAATTCTCAGTAATTCGAAGCCCTAGTTTGTCCTAAACCCTAAACCCTAGACCCTAGCTAAACGCTAAACCCTAGCAAAAATCTAAACCTAAGGCTCGACTAACCCTAAACCCTAAACCCTAGAAATCCCGGACCCGAGAAAGCCAACAGCTAATGGCTTGAAGAAGTTGGAAGTGCTTAGCTAGCTGCATTTATAGAACTCGCAGCTTAGGGTTTAGGGTTCAGGTTTTAGGGTCTAGGGTTTAGGGTTTAGGGTTTGTCCGCAGAGTCTATTGTAGACGCAGTCCGGGATGCCTCAGGGCCACTTGTTTCGAAGCGCCTGACTCTTAAAGCAGCTGGGGATGCCCTGAAGCGCATCAATTCTGCTGCTGCTTCTGCTGCTGCTGCTGCTGCTGCTGCTGCTGCTGCTGCTGCTGCTGCTG